GGGCTCTCGGCCTGGGAGGGAGAGGCCAAGCTTACGCTCACATGGACACACGCACTGAGCTTCCTGGCTTCCCTCGGCAGCTCTCTCCTGATTTCAAACCGTCTCCCCTTCGCTGAGTCACCTCCTCTGTCAGCCCTTCCTGGGAGGAGGAGGAGAGAAATCAAAACTCGTTCCCTATCAACTCCATTATCAAATCAACTGGCATCAGGCCCCCAAGGCCATGGCCAATTACTCCAAAATCCCCAAACCCCATTTCATTATGGTTAAAAGAACATTTCCTTTTAATCACCCCCAAATATTTTTGAGGAGGAAGAAGTAACTCCCAAGGAGAAAGCCAGGTGATGGGTGTTCACAGGACAGAGCCTGTCCCCAGGCAAAGCCTGGACCCTCAGTGTGACCCCTGGGGCTATTTGGGGGGCAGCAATAAGCCTGGCTCACTGGGTGACCAGCCAAGGGCTGCATCTTGCGGGAGAGCAAGTCACAAGTTAAGGAGCAAGAGAGGGAGAAACAGTGCTTGAGGCAAAGCCAGCAAGACGTCAGCCTATGTGGGCCACCCTGTGCCCAGTACAGCCGTTTCTTCAGAAGGGGATTCAATATCCCCCAAGGGCCCCCGCGGGAGTGTGGAGGTGAAGAGCAGCCTGGCCAGGGCTGCTCTGGTCCTCTGCTCTGTGACCCAAGGGTGTCTCTGGGGCTCCTTGGTCTGCTCCTTCCTCTCCTGTGTCTGCAAACAGCCCAGCAATGACAACAGGCAGGAAGGGGCCCGCGAGCATTCACTGTGCGAATCCTCTCGCCTTACAGATGAGGAGTCACTGGTTCAGAGAGGTGAAGTAACTAGCCCCACGTCACACTACAGAAGGGCAGAGAGCCGGGATACGAGACTGGGAAAGCCTGGGGAGACTGTCCAAGCCTTTGAGGCCATCTGTACAAGACAAGGTTCAACAAGATGATTCCTGGCCTTCCCTTTGGACTCTGTTGGCCCATGAGCCTCCCATGAGACATCCTGGGATTTGGCTTCTAAATTCGATCCTCCCTAATGCCCCAAACTCATCAACAAACACGCACATATCCTGTTTTTTATACTATGCAGGGGGCGGGGGGTGTAAAAATGAAGTTCTGGACTGTCACGGACCCCAGCCCACCTGACACAGACACAGTGTAGCTAGGACACAGCAGAATGAGATACACACCACAAAAGATGACGGTGCTCAGAGATAAAGAAAATAAGGAAGACAACACGGGCAGCAAGAGAGAGAGGCAGGTGGTGGCAGGGACAGTGCCCAAGCGGGACTTGACGTGCAGGCAGGTTGGGGTGGTTAGGAGGGACGCTCCCAGTGGTCAGGAGTGGGTCCAATCAGTGCAAACCCTGGGGCATTTGCTAGCACGAATGGGAAAGAGTTGCTTGTTGTCCTAGGAGGTGTCAACCTGGTGAAAGAGCTGCCAGGGGAGCACCCTGGCTGAGGGCAAAGCCCACCCACATAACAGAAGGTGAGCCAGGAGATGAGGAGGAGGAGATAACATCGTCTAAGCGGCTGGACACAGCCAGACCTGAAGCAGGTCACGTGAGCCAATTAAAAGTCCTCTTTTGTGTACGTGGGTTCCTGATGAGTTTCCCTCACATAGTATAGCACCAGAAGAGGCCTGCTTGTTATAGGTGACATTGGCCCCAGATATTGCTCAATAAAATAGCATCCTGGGAAAATCCACTAGAGATTCAAGGATCAAACAGTTCTCCTCCTTCACTTGCATCCGGGTACTGAACACAGAAACACTCATTGAATGAACAAAGTTCCCTCCTACTGCTGATGCACAACTGAGGTCAGATTCACTGCCTCTAACATTCCCTGCTCTTCTAGCCGTGTGAGAGTAGCTTAGTTTCCTGCTAGCTCCTGTCTCCAGCTTACCAGTCACAGTTAAGTGACCAACTCTAAGAGAAGTTCCTGGCACCCGCAGCTCTGCAGGGAAGGGGAAACAGGAGAGATGCTCAATAGGCTCCTCTGCACGGAAAGCTGCCAGGCTGTGCCGGAATCCACTTACTCCTTAGCCATGGTGGGCTCAGGAGCCCCATCCACCCACCTGTCCAAGCATCTGCTGGGTACCACTGCACACTTGACCTGTGCTAAAGCATGCGAATGAGACTGGCCGTGGGACTGAGTTCCTTTTCCATGAAATTGTAGAGGCTCCAACCCAACAAACCCATTAAGACCCTTCAGATGAGAGGAGTGCCCCCTCTAGGCAGGAAACTTACACTTATCTGTTGTCGATAAAAATAAAATGTTTTTCTCCTCAAAACAGCACCAACTCTGAATCTGGTTAATATCTCGGTTAAACCAGCAAGGAGTATTCCTTTGCAAAAAGATAAAATAATAACAACGTTTTTGTTTATTTTTGATCACATACTATGCCAGCTGTTAGGCTAAATGTTTTAGCCTCACCGATTCAATAAATCTTTGCTATAATCTTACAAAGTGGGTAAACAGAGGCTCAGAGAGGTTAAATAGCTGGCTCAGTCACTCAGCAAACTGGAAGAACCACGATTTCTACAATAGATTTGGAAGATTCTAAAATATCTCCAAGGCTGAACTTTGTTGTAACACCGGAGTCGGTAGGGGCCACCTTGAGGAGTTTCTATGAAGATAGGAAGGAGTACCACATGAAGGGTGTTTGAGCACAGAGCCTGCCAGTGCAGAGTGCTTTGCCCTGTGAGCCTCAGTAGTATTTCATCATCAACGCGTGTCCCTGACAGGTTTACAGTGGGTGGCCTCAGGGCGTGGTGGGTGCCAGGCTCTGGGGAATCACTCGCTGTTCCCCTTTGCTGTCTGCCACCGATGTTCAGATGTCAGTCGGCCGTGGACAAGTGCACAGAAAGGTTTGGGCGCCCACAGCCACCACAAGCCTGAGCTCGCTGGATCCACCCTTGGAGGGGAGCACTGCCAGGTGGGTCTCTGGCTGCCTGGCTCCCACCCCTGCCTGCTGCCCCCAGTGGCTTAACCCATCTGCCTGCCTTGCCAAATCACTGGAGGAGAGACAAGCACTCGGGGTAGCCCACCCACACAGGGCACCCACCGTAACCCGTGCCACACTGCCTCAGCATGCCCAGCCAGGTGCCTGGCTCCCGGCAGCTGCCTGCAGCACAGAGCAGTCAAGTCTGCAGAAGGAGTGGGTTCTGTGTCGTGTTCAAAAAAAGATGATATTTCGTGTGGATAAGATACTTTAATCTGGGCTCTGGTGTTCCAGAAATAACAATAATAGCTCATGCTCCATAGCACTTTCTATAACCTTTTATACAAAGTAAGAAATTTAACCCTCACAACATCGCCAAGCAATAGATCCTATTATTAGCTCTATTTTACAGGTAAGGAAACCAAGGCTCAGAAAAAATGAGAGGTGTGAGATCCCACAAAGATAGGACACGTTGAACCCAAACCATTTAGCCCACAAAAATCTGTTTATTCAAGACTTGGGGGTAACAAGTAAGAGATAGCCCTGAGCTTGGCACCGTCAGGATCCCACTTTATAGGTGAGAAGACCAAAGCTTAGAGAAGCTGAGCAACAAGCTCAAGGCCACACAGCATTCAAAGCCAAGCTCCAGTTACACATTCAGCACTGGCCTTGATTATATTGAACCTGGTGTCCGCTTTGTAAAATCCGACGTCCCTACCTCCACCACCCCATTCTGCAGAGGATGATAACTCAACAAGTCAAATCCCAGAAGCGTAGTGAGCTGGTCAGGGACAGAGATTAAAGAGGTCCTGTGGTTCTGTGGAGAAGCTCAGCAGACACCAAGACCCCTGAGGAGTGAAGGTTTTTGCCCTGGAGAAGGATGGTGGCAGGTCACACCCTGCTGGCAACAGGGTTGAGGGCTGGTGCACTGTACCCACTTGGGGGGACCCTGACTATGTCCATGGCTGTGGCCAGTGCTCCCACTACCCAGCTTGGGGGATCCTCCCTGAGAGCCCCTTCAGATTAACAGTCAACCGGGAGTCCCCCACCAGGACGGGCGCATCCTGAAAAAGCACATTCTGTACCATACGGTCATTTTACATTTGGATAAGGAAATTTTTTTTGGTACTGGGGATCGAACTTGGGACCTTGAGCTTTCGAGGCAGGCAGCCAAACCACTGAGCTAAATCCCTGGCCCCATTTTATATTTGGAACACAACACTCCCTCCACAAACACACACCCGTTGTTTTTATCGTCCAAGCCACAGAAGGCAGAGCACAGGACCTTCTCGGTCAAAGCTGAGTGAGTTAAAAATGGCCACAACCCTCAGAAGGAGCCGATAGGAGGTGGGAGGTATGCGTCTTCCCCAGAGCCTACATGGTGTTCTCAGGGCTGACAAGGTTCCTGACAGCCAAGATACCCAGGGAGACCCAGCTGGGGGTTCCAGCACCAGGGAAGGAGGAGCATCACACATATGCTCACATGCAACGTGGTGTGCGTTCAGACAGCACTGCTCACACCTGGACATGCACTGCGTGCACACACTCAGCACACTCTCACACAACACTCACATGCAACGTGCATGCAACATCCATGCACTAGTTTCTCACAACACCCTCCCCATGCATGTTCACATGTACAAGCACACATTTAAATACACACACACTTACATATGCACACTCATATTCACAATGCACACCCTGACATGTACAAACACAGACACAGGATGGCTGCGTGCTCAGAGCCCCACAACTACATGCTCACGTGCCCCCAGACCCATGCTCATACCCACACACAGACAGGAGAGGACTCTCGGTAGCCTAGACCCACACTCAGCCACACCCTCACCCACCTCCTCAAGATGTACACAGGCAGACACTGAAACACACGATTGATGAACACACACAGGTGAAGATCCGCACCCAGTCTTGTAGGTGGATGACTCCCAAAGCCACAATGATCCAGAGAAAGACACGTGGAAAGCCACACGTGTCACACACACAGTGGGCTGGATGCACACACAGACACAAGGACACAGAGTCCCAGCTCCTGAACTCACCCTGGGCAGCTCCTGCCCTCCCAGAGAGGTCTGCGGCCCTCAGTAGTGTCCGCACTGGGCCCAGCCAGGCAGCCAGAGCCACTGCGAGGCTGTCAGCACACCACCGGCTCAAGAAAAGTGGATGTGCAAAAATAAAAATGAAAGGCTGGGATAAAGCCGTCCCTTCCCACAGGACTCTAGGCTGACGCAGGTTCTGCTCTGCAACAAACATTTCCATTCTAATTTTAAAAGACATTAGCATTACCTCTTTGGCTCTCGATCCAGCCAGACGGTACCTCGCCTCTCACGCTGCCCACCAGACACATTGGGCACTGAGGGGACACAGGCACTTACTTACACCATGGGCACTGGCTCAGTGACCTACTGGCCACTGAGGTCTGATTTTGCACCATTCCTGTGGGCCCTGGACTTAGCACCCGATAAAACAGTTAGGTGGCAGAGAGACATCCCCCACCTCCCCGCAAGATAGCATCTGGTATCTCAACCCAGCTAGGATCCCTGTGGATCCAGTTCTGCTTGCCACTGTGAGTGCCATGCACGAGGAAGGTGGCTTCCAGGTGGCAGGTCTGCCCCCAACAATCGGGGAAGAGTGCGTGAACTGGGGCTCCATTCTTCACTCCCACCCGGCCTGCAACCCTGTCTCACCTTATAACTCCCAGCAGAACCCACCCTGGATTTCCAGACTTAGCAAGGGCTCAGGGGAGAAGGGAAACCACACGAGGTCGGGGAAAGCCAGGTGTGTCCGTAAGAGGTCCAAGGGCCCCAGGCACCAAAATGCTTCCCAGCCTCCAGCCTCAGCTCTTGCCCCACCCTGTGAAGCAGAGGTCTCAGAACCTCTGACTAGTGCCCTCTTCAAAGCCCACCTCTGACCTTTCCCAAGCTGTCTCTTCTTCCTTGAACACACTCTCCTGGCCACCCATCAGGTCTGCGCTTCCAAGTCACTACATGTCACGCTGCTGGGCGTCTTCGATCCCATGCTGAGTGGGCGACCCAATCCCTGCATCCACTGAGCTATGTAACACAGGTGCCTCCTCCAGGGAGCAGCCTCCTGCAGGAAGTGGCCTTCTCCAAGAAGCCTGCCCTCAGCTCTAGCTCAGGGGACAGCTCTTTTCAGGCTGGTTCTGTCTATCTTGTCTTGCTCCAGGTCTGTTCCTGCCTGGGAACTCCGGGGGGCAGGGAGCAGCCTGTGGGTCTGGTGAATGAATGAATAAGGGAATGGCTAGGTCGTGCCGGCCCAGGTCCCTTCCCTCTTGCATGGCTCTGGCTTTTTCTCCACTGGACTCGCACAGAAAAACCAGGAGAGGGAGACCTAGGCAAGTCCTGGTTAGAGAAAGGGAGGGTACAGAGGCTCCTTGTTCCTGTCTACAAGGCTCTGGGGCTGGGGGCACAGGACTCTCTGGCTATTCCCAACCATGAACACGACACTATATGGCCAAGGCGGGTGGAAGAGAGAAATGTCAGCAGATCGTTCCCAGCAGCCTCCATTCCTCCCCTGGAGTGGCCCTTTAAAATGGCCCCACATCAGCCCTCCCCTGGGGAGTCCCAGTGCTGTACTGGCTCAGGTCCCTGGTACACAGGCCTGGCTGAGAACAGTAGCTCCTCCTATCTCCCCACTCTGGTCTTCCCCCCAACCTCCTCTCCATTAGCCTGAAACCTTTTTGCAAAACACAAGGGCAAACCATCACTACTACCCCCAGCTTAAACCCTTTACAGCTCCCTGTAGTTCAGGAAATTAAGCCCCCAAGTCAACACCCTCAGCCTCGGAAAAGTCAAACTCTGTATGGAGGTACAAGGGGCCTTGCCTGACCTGACTTTCACCAAGCACTCCATTTTAACCTTGATCCTAATAAAATGACTCCCAATTCCCCAGACCGCAGGCTCTCACCCTCTGTGCCAGCGGCCATACCATTCCTGGTGTCTAACACTGTTTCCAGGTATAATACAGCACCCTGATTCCTGCTGGCAAACTTGTCTTTTGAGACCCTCTGAAATCTCTTTATAGTCCCTTCCCAGTTCCTGGCTCTGAGCACCTACCGAGGGTGGGACCCACTGCTGCAGAAAAATGTCAGCTTGTCCTCTCACCGGTGGTCTTCTCTCTCCAGTGAGCCCCTCGAGAGAAGCAGCCCATCGTATTTATTTAGGGGCTCCCCAGCTCTGGCCCAGGGTAGATACATTAACATGTATTGGTTACTGCTGCTGCAGTTAATATAATTTTTAAGCTCCCTTTGCTGCTGGTGCCTTGCTCTCAGCTTAGTTTGTCTTTAATAAATAAAGCCAAAAAGAATGATCCAGGCTCCTTGGCTTCCTCCCCAGCACCCTGGGCTGCAGTCTGGAGCAGGGAGGGCTGGGGGACCAGCAGGTGGGCAATGAGGGGAAGCTGTGCCCCAGAAATGAAATAGGAAGCAGGGGGAGACGTAGGACCTGAGTATCTGAGACCCTCTTGCCCAGCACAGAACAGGGTTTTCACTGCAAGGCCACACCTGGTGGGTTCAGGGACACACACAGATCTGAGGGGTCCCCATCAGCCTTTTTAGAGCAGAGCCGTCATCAGAAGTCAGGACATTGGGGTTGGCATGAGAAGACAGCAGGAAGGAAGACCTGGGCCCTGCCAAAGTGTGGCCAAGACTCTACCTTTAGGATTTAGCACTTTTTAGTCAGAGAACAGGGACTCCCCCCGTGAGGCCAAGATCTTTGCTGCCCTCCAACTTCTGGCCAGGGCTCCCAGGGCAACTCCACATCCATTCAGAAAGCTACCCAGGGCTAAGCAGAGGAAAAGGACAGGCACTAGGAGTGTCATGAAGCCTTGGGCAAGCGACTTTGATTCTCTGAACCTGTTTCCTCATATGGAAAAGGAGCAAAGTCATAAGAGCTCCTGAGATGCCACACGGGGAGCACCTGGCTTGGGGCCTGGCCTCCCGCTCGGCTCCACGCACGGTGGCCCTTATGACAATGGTTTGAGTAAACTCCCTGGGTTCTAGGACAGCCCAGAGAGGACAAAGCGTCTTGCCCGGCAGTTAGGGAGCTTGAGACCAGGGCCCAGTTCTCCTCCCCTCACCCAGAAGTGCTCCATCTTGGGCCCCTGAGAGGTTTCAAGGACATGAACCAGGCTCCAGAGATGACAAGAGTTTGAGTGCTGAGCAACTCTCACTTCTCCCCGCTGGTGTGGTCTCAAGCACTGGCAGCCTGGGGCTGTGACTCATCCCTGAGTCACTCAGCTCAGGCTTGATCCCTCCTGCCCCCAGGGACCCTGGGCTCTGCGGGCCTAGGGCCCTTGCTGGAGGAAGCTCAGGCTGGCTCGGATGCTGGGCTCCAAGGCAGGTCACAGATGGCACCGAGCAGACCCACCAGAGCTGCCCAGATTTTGAGGGCTCATTCCAGGCCAGTTTGGGGCCAAGTGCTCAGACTCAGTGCTTCCTGACTGTGTGCAGTGTCAATGCGTACCCTATTATGGCTTCAAGATACGCTGGAGGGGGTGACAGTATCAAAGGCAGACAAAACGGACAGAGGCTGTGGGTTTCCTTTGGGTCAGGGAGAGTAAAAGAGGTGATGGTAATAAGCACAATACGGATAATAACAACTGTAATAATAACAGCCGTCACTCAGTGAACTCAGCGCCAGGCCTGGCCTCACCGAGTGCTCCCCTGGCACCCTCTCACGCCTACTCCAGCCCTTGAGGAAAGCAGCACTGTCATCTTTATTTTACAAGCTAGGAAGTTGAGATTTAACTGGTGAGATCATTTCCCCTTTTGCTCCATTTTACAGACCAAGAAACAAAACTCAAGAGAGGGCATGTCACTTGCCTCAGGACACACAGCAGGCAACAGACCTGATCTTCATGCTCTTCACTACTGCTATTCCCTCCCCGGGAAAACCCACAGCCAGTCGGCTGAGCCCCCTAGAACTGTCAGGGGCCATTTGGTACTGGGGAGACTGAGCCAAGGGTGAAGAGTCCCAGTGCTCATATGGCTGACCTTCTAAAAGGGGAAGGCAAAACATCGAAGCAGGTTCTATCACTCAAGGTGATGAGGACCACACAGGGGACTGGGGCCGGATTCCTCCTCCCAGAGACCAAGAGTGGGCAAGGCAGCTGCCAGGCTGCAAGACACGTCTAGTCCAACAGGCAAGACAGACATGCATCATTCCTATTGCTTAAAGGTGACTGGCACCAGAAGGCCGGGCCCTGCTGCAGCCAGGGTGTGCAGAGAAGATGCAGCCCTCGGCCCTGTCCCCACCATGCTCCACGCTCAGGCAATGGCAGAAGTTACTTACCTGGCAGGAAAGCCGGGTTCCGGGTGCGTCCCTGACCTCCCCCACCAGCTCCAGGTCCCTGACAACTTCTCCTGACCTTCGGCCACAAGGAGGTGGCTCGTGGCTGCTCGTGCAGGGCCCAGCCGCAGCCTCTGCCTCTCCTCCTTCATGCAGTTCTCGGCGGTATCGATTCTGCCACTGGATCGGCCAGGATAATTTTGCTTAGCTTCAAATACCTGGTTCTCATGAATCCCTCAGCCAGAAGGTTAGGAAGCTTCCTCCAGCACGCGGGGGAAAGATGAAGCCCACTTGTGGTTAATATTGTACTGTGCCCTGTCCGTCAAGCTGCTTGCCTGCTATTGAGAGTCCACCATGAGATACTTATTTAAACAGCCTCGCAAGGCTGCTGAAGAAAGTGCAGTTATGCATTTTCCCCTCCTTGCTGGCGAGAACGACTCTAGATAAACATCAATTCGCTCCTGCGGATCACAGTCACAGTAAATAAATTTTTCAGGAAGCTTGAGATCCGCACAAAGGCTCCGCCAAGCTCCCATTTCACACAACATCAATGTTTGGCCTCCAAGAAATAAAAGCTCTAAGGTGGCCGTCGCCAGGGCAAAATTATCAATTGTCAAGTCACTTTTAAAAGAGAAAGAAGATGAGCATTTCTGGGAGACAGTTCTTTCCGTGGCTTGAAAAATACATGGGAGATGGACAGTCGCTTTACCCATAAAGTCACCACTAGGACTTGCCCCTAAGTGCATGGATGTCTGTCCGCCACATTCTTGGCCTGGGACCTGCTGCCCTGGGGAGCTAGAGCAGCCAGCTCCAGCTGACTTCAGTGACTTCAGAGTCTCAGGCACTGGGTTATTTTTACTTTCTCAAAGTGGGGTTTTTTTCACTACTTTTAGAAGTGGCAGACAAGGCTTGTCTATTATAAAATATTTGTTGCAAACACACACACAGACACACACACTCAGTTGCTCGCCACCCCACACACAGTTCTCGTCTGTAAAAATCTCAAGTCACAGTGGTGCGAGGAACAGGAGATGAGAAAGCTGAGACCCCTCAAGGCAAGCGGGGTTTATGTAACTCTCCAGCCTCAGACTCAGCTGGATGCTACTGCAGCGGTTCTGCTGTTCGGGGAACCTGCAGTACAGGTCACTTCACGGGTGAGGAAACTGAGGCATGGAGGGGCCTAAGGCAGGCAGAAGTAGACTCGGTGCAACTGCATTTAGATCTCAGTTCTGCCACCTTCCTGCCACATGGCCTTGGCAGGTAACTTCAATCTTGGGCAGGTTTCCTGATCTGCAAAATGAAGTGACAGTGGTCTCCTCTCACAGGGTCCCTGCAAGATAAGCCTCTAAATTTGCATTTGTGGGTGTTAGTACTAAAGGGCTTAGAGCTTCCTACCCAATCATTGGCAGGACCGGAGCTGGATGGGAGCAGAAGAAGCACGCTTCATGGAGTCTCAGATCCAGCCAGGATTCTAGGCCTGTTACTGCCAGTCCTGGCACT